CTGATGTGTCTTCTCAGATATAATGAACTGCAACATCTGAGCCTGCATATGATAAAGCTCTGATCAGTTGCAGATGGAAGTGAGTTTATCACCCTTAGGCTGGGGCTTAGCCTGAGGGCAGACGTGCTGGATAGTGAATTATGTTACAGACGGCTCAAGTTCTTTGAAGCACATCCCCCTTCCCACCTACATCACCTCCGTTCTTGCCTGGGTAAGAATACACTACCGACCACCTGACCAGAATGGTGATGAGAACTGTGAAATGTTCCAGGAGATGAGAGAGACTATAGAAGTAGAAAACTCAATCATAATAATAGGGGATTTCAACTATCCCCATAATCAATTAAGTATATGTCACCTCAGACTGAGATACAGAGATAAAGTTTCTAGACACCTTAAATGACTCTTCCTTGGAGCAGCTAGTCCTGGAACCCACAAGGGGAGAGGAAATTCTTGATTTAGTCCTAAGTGGAGCACAGGATCTGGCCCAAGAAGTCAATATACTTGAACTGCTCAGTAATAGCGACCATAACATAATTAAATTTAACATCCTGGGGGGTGAGGAGAAGGAAGGAGAGAGAGAATACCAAAGAAACCCACCATGGTAGCATTTAGCTTCAGAAAGGAGAACTACATAAAAATAAGGAAGCTAGTTAAATGGAAATTAAAAGGAGGAGTCTCAAAAATGAAATGCCTGCAAGCTGCATAGAAACTTTTAAAAGCACTTTCATAGAGGCTCAATTAAATGTATACCCCAATTTAAAAAACTTAGCAAGAGGACCAAAAAAGTGTTACCACTTCATTGTTAAACAATAAAGATAAGAATATGCTAGAGGCAAAAGGGCTTCCCGTTAGAAATTGGAAGTCAAATCCTACTGAGGACAATAGAAAGGAGCATACACTCTGGCAAGTCAAGTAAAAGTATAATTAGGCAGGCCAAAAAAATTTTTTTGAAGAGCAACTAGCAAAAGACTCAAAAACAAACAGCAATTTTTTTTTAAGTATACCCAGAAGCAGAAAGCCTGCCAAACAATCAGTGGGGCCACTGGACAACTAAGGTACAAAAAAAAAAAAAAAAAAGCACGCTCAAGGAAGATAAGGCCATTGCAGAGATGCTAAATGAATTCTTTGCATCAGTCTTTACTGCAAAGAGATTGAGGGAGAATCCCACATCTGATCCATTCTTTTCAGGGGACAAATCTGAGGAACTGTCCCAGATTGAGGTGTCAGTAGAGGAGGTTTTGGAACAAATTGATAAATTAAACAGTAATGTCACCAGAACCAGATGGTATTCACCCAAGAGTTCTGAAGGAACTCAAATATGAAATTGCAGTGTAGTAAGTAACCTATCGCTTAACTACAGGTTTCAGAGTAACAGCCGTGTTAGTCTGTATTCGCAAAAAGAAAATGAGTACTTGTGGCACCTTAGAGACTAACCAATTTATTTAAGCATAAGCTTTCGTGAGCTGTAGCTCACAAAAGCTTATGCTCAAATAAATTGGTTAGTCTCTAAGGTGCCACAAGTACTCCTTTTCTATTGCTTAACTCAGTTTCTGTATAGGATGACTGGAGGATAGCTAATGTGACACTAATTTTTTTTAAAAGGCTCTAGAAGTGATCATGGCAATTACAGGCAAGTAAACCCAATTTCAGTACCAGGCAAATTGGTTGAAACTACAGTAAAGAACAAAATTATCAGACACATAGATGAACTCAATTTGTTGGGGAAGAGCCAACACAGCTTTTGAAAAGGGAAATTATACCTCACCAATCATTTAGAATTGTTTGAGGAGGTCAAACAAACATGTGGACGAGGGTGTGCCAGTGGATACAGTGTACTTGGACTTTCAGGGCTTGTCTACACTAACACTGTAAGTTGATCTAAGTTACGCTACTTCAGTTACGTAATTTACTTAGCAGGTGAAGACAATTTACGTGTCTTCCCCAGACCTGCTAAATCAACACCAGGGATGCAAACCCATACTCTGGGTATCCCTAGCCTCTGACTGCCAGAAGCTGGGACTGGACAACAAGGGATGGATCATTTGATGATTGCCCTGTTCTGTTCATTCCCTCTGAAGCACTTGGCACAGGCCACAGTCAGAGTGAGAAGACTGGATACTGGGCAAGGACCATTGGCCTGACCCAGTATGGCTGGTTTTACGTACTGGGCTCCCCATCATCTAGCTGCTGATCTTAGTCAAGACACAGGGAGCTGGTGCTGGCTGTGTCGGACATACAGAAGATGGAGAGCTGGGTGCAGTCCATGTGCTGCTGACACTGTAGCTTTGACTGTCTCCTCAGCTCTCCCTAAAACATTATACCAATCTTGAATATCATGGTAGAGCTGAGTATGATGCCCCAAAGCTGAGTGCTTTGTGGGGGACAGTTGTCCAGGACAACCCCCTAGGCTAGATCTAAGCCATTTCAGGACTTCCCTTTCCTTTCATCCCTGGATGGGCTCCCCTTGACTAAAGGCAAGAGGAGGGCATCCACGGGAGGCAACAAGTGCTGGCTCTGTGCCAGGCCCTGGCCTCAATCCTGACTGACAGACTCAGGACACCTGCAGGTGGTATTGGAGACTAGATTTTGCTATTTTCTCTCTGAGCTGGCTTACCAAAGGGAGGTCAGACACTGGGCTGGGAAGTCTCTTGAGCTGAATGACTGTTTCTTGATGCAGGTCAGACTGCTAGGTGTTGGGGTGTGTGGGGCGCACTAGGTTCCTTTCACTAGAAGATGACAGCTGACAGTCTCTACCAGTCGGTGTCCCAGGTGCTCTCTAGTCTCTCAACTGCAGGGGAGGGCAGAGGCAGAGTCTCAGGGGTGGCCCTGATGCCATCAGTGCCTCCATGACAATATAGGAGTGGGCTGGGAGCATGAATTTCTTAGCTGCTCTTAGCTGGCTGTTTTTGGAGGTCTGCGAAGCCATCCCTGGGGCAGGTAAACTCTATGGAATAAGAAATCTCCACAGTGTGAAGTGATGGGATGTGGGGCTGTTTGAGTTAAAGCAATTTCAAGTCCAGAAGGCTTCTGTGTGGTGTGACTTTGCTGTCCATATGGCAGAAGAGAGGCAGTCTCTTTCTGTCCCTTCATGGCACCAGCATGGGTTTGTAGGATCCCTTTCTTTTGTCTCAGCCTGCTTCTATCATGCTACTTCCAGCGCTGATGCTCAAGTTTCCTTCCTTCCTACTTTTCCTGTTGCAGGTTCTTGGAGAGCCACAGTGATCCATGTGGGTGGTGGGGAGATGGTTTTGGTGCTGGGGTATCTATGGCCACAGTAGTGCCTCACTGATCTCTCTACCCCTTGGTGTCTCAGGTAGGTGGAGTTTTCTGTCAGTATAGTAGTTTGGTGAGATCCAAATTTTCAAGGAGCGCTATACAAATAGTTTATTTTTTCTTCACAATGGGGAAAACTCTCGTTTCTGCCTGGATGTGGAAGTGGTCTGACAAGGCTGGAGGAGGCTCATGTTTTATAACCACTTCCAGCCTTAGGATGCAGGCCAACAGAATAATACTCCTGTGCTCTTTCCCATCTGGTTTTAAATGCAGTTAAAGGGCTTTTTAGTATCTGCATTGTGAGTATGACAAATGTGGGGATGACCAATGCAGCAGACATCTTGCTTTGGCTCTAATGTTTGAACAGGGCCATTCTCTTCCTGTGATCGGCTTTTTCTGCTGTCCTACGGATGCTACAGACAGCCTCCGAGCAATGGCTGCTATGATTCTACAAAGACATATGATGTGACCACATGTTTCTAGATTCCATTTTGGGATGTCAGTGTTTTTCCACTGACCAATCTGGGAACTAAGGTTTGAAACAAAACATTCCTGCCATATACAAAAGCTATTTAAGGCAGGGAGTGACATCACCAGGGATTCTTCGCTCCCCACACAAAGACTCCGGAGGAACAAAGACTGAACTGGGGGAAGTGCTGAACCCAGGTTAAAGGAATTTTTAGCCTGTGAATGGAACACCTGGGGATTCCAAGCTGCAAGCAAGTGCAGCTTGCCCCTTAAGAATCTGCAGCCTGCTCATATTATCACTTGGGGTGAGAATCTGTTATTCATATCCAATCTATTTAGCATACATGCAGTCCTCGGACTTACGACACAATTGGTTCCTGAAAGTCGCGTCTTACGTCGAAAACATTGTAACTCGAATTTCCCATAGGAACAATATCAGATCGAGTATTGTAAAGTCGAAACTGATATCATAAAGTCAAAACACAATGATAATTTATAAATGTCGTAAGTGCCATTCGTTGTAACTTGAACATCGTAAAGTCGAGGACTGCCAGTATTAAGTTTAGTTTGCACTTTTTGTTTATTTGCTAGGTAAACTGCTTTGATCTGTTTGCTATCATTTATAATCTCTCTTTTTTAGTTAATAAACTTATTTTTGCTTTATCTAAACCAGTGTGTGGGAAACATAACTCAGGGGTAGAAGGCTATTGCATATTCCTCTCCACATTGATGGATGGGGTGAATTTTATGAGCTTACACTGAACAGTTCCCTGTGCAGTGCAAGATGGTATAATTTTGGGTTTATACTCCAGAAGGGGTGCATGCCTGAGAAGCTGGTTGTTACCCTAGCTGTCGCCTTCCTATGCAGGGGCTGGTCAAAGCACCTGCCTGAAACTGCAGGTGGGTGTGTCCCTACCTGTATGTATGTTGGTGAAAGTGCAAGCTGAAGCCTGGATGGCTTTGCAGCTTGTCACAGCAGTACAGTGTGAGAGGGAGCCCAGGCTGGTGGGTCAGGGAGGCTCAGTGGTATCCCAGCTCCAGGTGGCACCTCAGGGGGAACTCATCACAGGCCCCTCTCAGGATTAGGGCCCATTACAAGGGGGGCTGCACAAACACATAGGGAGACATAATCCCTGCTCCAGAGAGTTTACATACACTGTTGGGACAATACCAGGCTCTAAGGTCACAGATAAGACAGATGTGCCTAGAAGGGCTCTTCCAGACAATTTTTCTGATTTACCTCCCCTGCTCCTTACCCTCAGCCTGCTGCTGGGTGTGGAAACGCTGAATCTGCTCTCCCCGGGTTACGGACACTTTACAAATGAGGCATTTCAATAGTTCTTCTTCCTGGACTCCAAATTGACCCTGGGAGAGAAGGGACCAAAGAGAATAGTCAGTTTCAATCCCTGGTTCCATAGTGCAGTGGCTATGTCTCCCCACCTTTGTGCGCCACCCAGTATAATGGGGTCATATCCTGACTGGGGCCTCTTGACGTTATCGTAACGTAAATAATAATAAGACATTGTGGGCATCAAGCCACAAACTCTGCAGCCACCACTCTCCTTAAGACCAGCTTGCTCACTCGCTCTCACGCACAAACAGCCCTCTTGGGCTGCTGCCTTCCCAACCCCCCACATACACCTTCCCAGCACTTACCTCCAATTATTTACATAACACATTATTAATTGCCTGAGCTGAAATCTGTGTCAGAGCTCTGCCCATCCTTGAAGGGGAGGAAGAGACATTTAAAACATGATCCTATGGCTCCTGGTTACCATAGAACCAGAGTGCTCTCCAAAAGTAGAAAGCTACAGCACGGAAATTTCTATTCCTGCGCTGCTGGCAAGAGCAGACTGAGCCTGGGTGCAGAGGTGTGGCTTTTACTTAGCTCCAAATACAATGAGGTTAGTGCTCATTCTGATTTCACCAGGCAGTGAATTCCAGAGTCAGAACCCAGCTCCTGTGACGGTTCCATCTCCTGCAATCACAAGCCTCCCCTGCAGAGGGGCAGCTTCATGGTTCCAGTGGCATGCAGTCACTGTGAAAAGTTGAGGAGAGGGGGAATCTCTCTGTAGCCAATGATTTGATATTATTTATTTTGTCATGTTATAATTAACAAACATGACATGTTATATATAATTATTGTATCCTAACCAAACTTAAGTGATAGGATTATAAAAGTATAAGATTGATTAGTAGTTAGAAGGGATAAATATGTATTAGGTATCTAAGTAAGGAAGGCTGAAATGTAAAGCCTATAGGCTGAGGCCTGTAAGATTTTAGCTTAGATATTTTAGGCCTTAGAAATAAAAAATACTGACATCAGTACGTAACCAAAAAATAACCCAATGCCATAAGATTATAGGGAAAGATGTACCAAGAGATGAAATTGAAAAATATTGGCCAAAAGATTAATTTTAGATCACAAAAATGCTCTAGAAGCACATTTTTGTTTAACACGTGCCTTAACCACAGGATAGAGGTTGTGCATCAATGATAATGAGAATAAAAGGAACTATACACAACCTATAGAAACACCAAACCAAACCAAACGGAAAAGACGGTTGACACTTTCATGCACATGCACACAATGTAGGTATAGGCAAAATCACATTATAGAAAGAAGGTGCCCAGATTGGAAAAATTGAGCTTCCTATAGAAAAACTCCTCCAGGAACCATCCCTCTACGGATGATCACTCCATAAAACACCCATCAGACCCTAACACTATCTAGGAGGATGGGAGTATGACTGCAGCTACAATTTATACATGCTGTGATATTCATAACTGTGCCAGTAACTTGAATAACATTGATAAAAGACATTAGACCTTACTCTGTAATTGCATGTGCTACTTTCCTTGATTTTCATGTGTTCTTATGAACGCTAGATATGAAACAAGTGGCAGAGGTAACTGTTGAACTTGAGAATGTAGCTACCAAAGCTGAATACATCTAATGTCACTAAAATTACTTTAACTAAAAAGAAAAGGCTACATGTCAGGGAGCTGGGGCCGATCCCATGGTGGGGCTTTGAAATCAAAATAGAGACCTAGAATTGGATTTACTCAATAGGAAGCCACTGTTGAGAGTAGGGCATTGAGGTGGCAGAGGAGGGGGTGGCGCACAGCAGCCTGTTAAGCAGATGAGCTGCTGCATTTTGGATGAGCTGGAGCTTTTTCAAGCCAGGGAACATTATTCTTAGTGAGAACTTCAATAGTCAAGCTCAGATTACAGGAAACTGCACCCCACCAAGGCCAGATCTGATGCAGTGTGCAGGAGGGCCTGTGGGAGGAGTGGTGCTGTCAGATCAACAGGTGAGAAAAAGTCTAGTACCTGTGTTTTGACAAAATTGGGGAGAAGAGTGATGTGGGTGTCAGGCCAGGGAGAAAAAGGTTGTAGTAATTGACACAGGAGAGATCAGGGTCTGACCAAGTGTTTTAGCTTTGAGGAGAGAGAAGACGGATCAGGTTTTCGATACAATATGGAGAAAGCTGGATTTGGATGCTGCCAGGATGTGAGGGGCTGAGATAGAAAAGAATTGGTCTGTAGCCCCAGCCCATCTTCTCCTCCAATTCTGAACCTGGCTTTGAACTGAGTAACCTGCTGGTAGTTAAAACCCACATAAGGTGCATGGTGGGAGAGAAGAGGGCTTGAAGATACCAGTCACTAGGGCAATCTGGTGCATTCCTGGGACAACTCCTAATTCTTTTGTAGCGTCTTTAGAATCAGTGATAGGAGTCCCCTCTGCTGCGTCAGTCAGGTGTGTAGCATAAGCAGCACCCAAAGAATGGAAGGACCCCCGCAGTGGCCCTCATCTACCCTTCATACATGGATTTAAAGACCATTCCTAATATAAATATTCCCCAAACCCCACACGGGTCCCCAGTGGGAGCACAATCTTGTCTCACTCCTCTGAGCCTCTCACTCGACTCACCGCTGAAGCCTTCAGCCACCCCCTGGAGGCTTCACTCACTCTCACGGCCCCATTGTTCTCCTGGGACTGGAAGGTCACATTGCCCAGAGACAGGACTCCAGCCAGGATTGCCTGCATGTCCACCTGCTCCTAAAATACACAACAGAGATGGCTTGGGGTTGGTACCCACAGATGTATGTGGGCATGTACATACACATGATGAGCAATAAGCAGCCCTCTTCCAGTGGAACTTCAAACTTCCTGCAGTGGTGGAGGGCGAGGAAGGTCAGGTATGTGGCGGGGGGGGGGAAGGGAGCTCTGCACTGAATCTGTTAGCCTGTGAACAGCACAACAAACTGAAGGAGGGAAGTAGAAGTGGGTCAAATGGGCTAACTGAGCAGAGGGGGTGGAGATGATGACAGAGTGCCCACTGTACTCACCTGTTCCTGGAAGCCCACCATGTCTAGGGCATTACGCACCTCCCAGTACTTGTGCTTCCAGGACTCAGCCACATCCTCTGCCCTAAACCAGCCGCTTATGTACCTGGGGAGACAAGTGAGTCAACTGATATTATTTGTATTAGGGTACAGTCTACATACTATGATGCTCTGCACCCCTGTATTCAGCCCATGCATGCTATTATAATAACCTTTGTACGAATATGCCTTGTGAGGTATCATTTGAAAACTCGTAACTCACTGGTCAATATTGTGCTGATAAAGTTATAAAATTCCACTGTATGGTGTTACTAAGACATATTCTGATCTGGGAAGCAGCCAAACCAGTTCCTCAGAGACAAAATACTTAGTCCTTCCATGACTGCAGGGGACTAGACTAGATGACTTCTCGAGGTCCCTTCCAGTCCTAGGATTCTATGAAAAGATAAACTGACGCCTCAGCCAGGTGTAAACAGGCCAAATGGGCCATCACCTGCTAAATGGCTATACATGGGCCATGCACACAATGACATGAGCAAAAAATCTAGATCTTAAAAAGTAACAGCTTGGGGTTTCCGTCCACAAAGACTTTTTGTCTCAAAAAAGGCAAAGAACTATAACAATGGATGGCAGAAGCCCCACATCGTTCTTCCCTTTCTCTCTGCCCACAGCATCCACAATACCTGACAAACAAAAGAAGGGGGAGGGATCCTGACCGAAAGAAGTTCAGCCATTAAGACTGCTGAAACATGTGGTGAGAGAGACCTTGCTTTGAATTCACTCAAGTTTGTTGTTAGGCATTAGTTGTGTTTTACTTTTATTTTTATTGTAACCAATTCTGACTTTTATGCCTCATTAGTTGTATTCACTTAAAATCTATCCTTTTAAGATTAATAAACTTGTTTTATTGTTTTATCTAAACCTGTGTCTTTGAATTGAAGTGTTTGGGAAACTCCATTTGGGATAACAGGATTTGCACATATCATTTTGTATTAATAAAATGATGAACTTCATATGAGCTTGTGTTGTCCCGAAGAGAGCTGGGCAGTACAAGGCATACATCTCTACGGCAAGTCTGGGACTTGGAGTTTGCTGGTGTTACTCTGTAGTGTAATTCAAGAGTAGCTGGCTACAGCACTCATACAATATAACTAGGAATAATTTACATGCTGGAAGCTGTGTGAACAGACCAGGCGTGGTAGCTCTCACTGTAAAAGGCACCCCATGTAGGAAAGCTGAGGGGACACAGCTGTTCATCAGTTCAGATTATACCCTGAGTACATCACACATGTCTCATATGAGAGCACTCTGCAGGGCAGTCTCAGTGAGTCAGTCCCTGCCCCAAAGAGACAGCGCAGACATAGGGTGGGGGGAAGCAGAGGTACAGAGAGGGGAGTGATTTCCCCAGGTCACTGGCAGAGCCAGGAACAGAACCCAAGTCTCCTGAGTCCCAGACCAGCGTCCCATCCATTAGGCCACACTACATCTATGTTCAGAGCCCAGCTGCAGCCTTCCATGACAATCCCCCAACCCTTTGCTCTCCTCTCATTACTCAACTCTCACACCAGGACAAATCCTCTTCCTCCACTCCTTCCCATATGGGGCTGTAGGAGCACATTATTCTGACCTGCACTCCACTGAGAAGCCAGAGTAGGACCTGCCACTCGCGTACCTGTACAATGAGGGATCTAGCAATCCATACATCTCCTTTTCCTCTGCAGTGAGCCCAGCAAACATATAGTAGAAGACATGGAAATTCCTCTCTCCAGCATCTTGTTGCACGACACGAGACTTCTCTAGCAGATACTCGCTCAGCTTGGCGCCCCTCACTACATGGGGAAGGGGCAGAAGGAAAGAAATCACCACACAGATGATGGGTTCCACACACCCAGAGACCTAGTCCTGGGTCTCACCTGTACTCCTTTGGAACCTCAGCTGCATGTATTTTCCAAAGCGGCTGCTGTTGTCATTCATCACAGTTTGTGCATTGCCAAAGGCTTCGAGCAATGGGTTCACCTGGAAGGGAAATGTACAGAGTTGATGGGGAGGTATAAGCAACAGGGAACCCTTAACATCCCCTCCCACCTACAATGGCCCAGCTAGGTTGCAGAAGGTATCAGAGGTATCATGTGAAACAGCCTCATGGCCTCTTGAGGAGCCATAGGGGAAAAAAAAAAAAAAAAGATTTGAGTCACTCAAATCAGGCTGGAAATGCACACAGTGACAAAATAATCCAATGCAACCATGGACTGTATAAGCAAAGGCACCACATCCTGGAGCAAGGAAAGGACAGTTTGTCAGGTCCTAGAGAGAACCCTTGGGATTCTGCCCTCAGCCCCTCAATCCCAGAAGCCTCCCACTTCCACCAAGCAATGGGGGTTGAGAGGGATCCCTCTCATGGATAGGCCTACATGGGATACTGTGTGCAGGTCTGGGGAACTCAATGACAGAAAGACAGACACACAGGGGGAAGTTCACAGCAGAGAGAGAAATTAATATGGGGCAGAATGACTGAGTTATAGGACTCAGAAAAGAATCTGATAAACTTGGCTACTAATGACTGGGGATGGAAGGGCCCATCCACATGATAATCTGCAAATCCACTGCTCCACTACAGGTTGCCCTGTGCCCCCAACCTCCTGCAGGTTCCAATACTCCTGCTGCAATTCATAGATTTTAAAGCCAGAAGGGACCATTATGATCCTCTAATTTGGCCTCCTCCATAAGAGGCCAGAGAAACTCACCCAGTAATCACTCTATCAAGCCCCTAACTTCTGGTTGAGCTATAGCACCTCCTTTAAAAAGTTATCTAGTCTTGAATTAAAATACTGTACTTCAAGTGATGAAGAATACACCACATCCTTATGTTAGTTGTTCCAATGGTTAATTACCATCACTGTTAAATATGTGTACTTTATTTCCAGTCTGAATTTGTTTAGCTTCAGCTTCCAGACACTGAATCTTGTTATCCCTTTGTTTGCTAGATTAAAGAGACCTCTGCTATCTGAAATCTCTTTTCCCCCAGGTAGGTAAACATAGGCAATGATCAAGTTAGCTATTTACTCTCTCTTAGATAAACTAAATAGACTGAGTTTCTTTAGTTTCTCACTGTAAGACAGGTTTTCCTGGCCTTGAATCATTCTTGTAGCTCCCTTCTGAACCCTTTCCAATTTGTCAGCATCCTTTTGGAGGAGTAAAAAGAAAAGGAGTACTAGTGGAATGCATCGGAATGCATCCGATGAAGTGAACTGTAGCTCACGAAAGCTTATGCTCAAATAAATTGGTTAGTCTCTAAGGTGCTGCTAGTACTCCTTTTCTTTTTGCGAATACAGACTAACACGGCAGCTACTCTGAAACCTTTTGGAGGAGTGACACCAGAACTGAACAAACTATTCCAGTAAGGGTTTCATTAATGCTGTATACAGAAGCAATGCCACCTCACTGTTTCTACTTTATATTCCCCTTCACATACATTCAAGGATCATATTTGCTCTCTTAGCTACAGCATCTTTACTAACTGCATCCCATACCAGCCTTTCCATGATTTTGACTGGGATCAACATCAGGCTAACCAGCCTATGACCAGGGACATACTGTTTATTCTTTTTAAATATTGGCACTACACTGGATATTTTCTAGTCCATTGGACTAGACTGTTCCCCAGTGTTCCAAGATTTAATAAAAAAACAACATTAATGGTTCAAAGAACTCCTTAGCTGATTCTTTTAACATTCTTAGATACAACTTATCTGGTCCTGCTGATTTAGAAATCTTTAACTTGAAAAGATGCTGTTTAACATCCTCCCTAATTACTGATGGAATATACTGATTACTGAAATAATTTCTATATTCCTGCTTCTTGCCAAATATTTAATGAACCCGTGTCTTGTCTACATCATAACTGACAATCTAGTATTGGATTTATACCGTTGCTAAGATTTCATTTACTCTGTGCTTTTTCCACTCCCAATGACTCATCTGTAGAACCCCCTAAGCCAACCGTGAGTTGCTCTGTGGCCACCCCTCCGTCTGTCCCCCTGCATTCTATTTCAATGACTCACCTGCAGTATCTGCTGCTCCAGCTGTGAGTTACCCTTGCACAGGTGCATGATGTGTTGCAGCAGTAGCTTTACACTCTCGGTTTTCCCTGCACCACTCTCTCCACTGTCAAAAAAGAGCAGAGGGTGAGGACAGGAAACTCTACCACCACTAGGACTCAGATGCTATTCCCCTTATGCCTCAGCGCATCTTCTCTTTCTCTGAACCAACACCCGCCATGTACCAACACTACTGCACAGCTCCAGGTGCCTCCTACTGGCAGTTTCCACATTAGCACCACCGTGACCCACCCCACTCCCCATGGCAACAGGTTCTATAGGGCACTGATCCCCTAGTAAGCCTCCGCACCCAGTGTTGCAATTTAACACCCTCCACTTGAGATTCTTTCTTGACCCTGGGGATGGAGGGGTCTTACCCACATTAACATTGTCTCCCACCTATCTGTGAACTTGACCCATTGGGCAGTCCCTTAAGCAATGGGGCCAAAAGGAATTTCTTAGTATCCCCAGCTCTGGGCAAAGAGGGAGGAATGACCTTGAAAGGCACCTGTCTCACTGAATCCTTCACATATACAAGGCATTCCCTCCCCTCCCAACCCTTACAAGCAGAACTTGTCCCACTGCTTCCATGTCCTTAATTGGGCTGTGATCCCATGACAGCATATGTGCACTAATACTTCACCCTGTGTGAAGATCTGTGAGTCACAGAGCAGAAGCAGGAAATAGTGCACATACTCCAAAGGGCAGGACGGTTTACACACCTGGGCACTGCACTTTATGTCCCAGGTGTGGCTTCTGCTCTGCAGCTCTCTGTGGCTACAGGGTGGAGTGGAGGGGTGATGTACAGTCTAATGGAGTGCTGGGACAAGCAGACTCCTAGGATTCAGGTGGCGGGGGGCTGGTGACCTGAACTCCTCTCTCTAAACAAGACATAGGACAGCAGCAAAGGAGAAAGGGAGATCATCTTGGTTTGACATGCACCAGGCTGGACAGGAATCTAGGGTCAACGCACAGCCAGGTGGTTGAATGTTGCTCTGGTATGAGGGGGAAGGGGATAGTGTGCCAGTTTGACACTCAGCAAGGAGGAAAAGTCCCAGACTGCTGTTATTCGGTTACAGAGAGACACCAGTTCCCAAAAGGGAGTATGACCCACCCAGACTTCCATTGGATGCTCGTGGCCCTACACAGTAATCACTAAAACCACCTTCTCTTTATGACAGGTTTCAGAGGAACAGCCGTGTTAGTCTGTATTCGCAAAAAGAAAAGGAGTACTTGTGGCACCTTAGAGACTAACCAATTTATTTGAGCATGAGCTTTCGTGAGCTACAGCTCACTTCATCAGATGTTTACTCCACGGTAAACATCTGATGAAGTGAGCTGTAGCTCACGAAAGCTCATGCTCAAATAAATTGGTTAGTCTCTAAGGTGCCACAAGTACTCCTTTTCTTCTCTTTATGGTATTTCTAAGGCACCCATCATCTATGCACTTAAGCACTGAACAGCTACAAAGAGACTAAGGGCATTTAGCTTCCTATTATTATTTATATTGTGGCATTATCTAGGAGCCCCAGTCATGGATCAGGGCCCCACTATGCTGGGTATCACACAAACATAGAATAAAAAGACAGAATGTAAGCTCTTGAAGTCAGGAACTATGTAATGCCTGCCCTCCCCCAGGTCACAGGGTTGGGGCAGCTGGTTAGTTTTTGGTTTTAATGGGAGCCATGGCTGAGGAAAGGCTCTGTAGGTCTCAACCTGCCAGAGAGCAGTGGAGTTCCATCACCAGATCCTGCTGCGGAGATAACTCTGTCCCCTGTATTGTGCACGCTGAATACAGCTACCTGAGGCTATCTCCCAGTTGGCCAGGTCCTAGCGCAAAGCATATTAGGGTGAGGATTTAATTTAGCTCTGACACCAGCAGGAATGGAGACAGTGGAATCCAGAGAACAGGGCAATGTGATCATATCTACCTTTGTTACTTAGGAGATGGCTGTTACACAATGCGCCAGCTGAAGTCTCTGAGAGAGACTTCATTCGGACCCAGCAGAGTGAGTTGCAGTGACTAATCTGGGCAGTGAGGAACGTACAGATCACAGAGGCCATGCTATTTCCTGGTCAGTTCAAGATGGGATCTCTCATCTTTGTGACATTCTGTGTGCCCAGAAGCAATGGAATAAAACATAGCCCATCAAAGTAGCATCTAGTATTGAGGCTATGTGTAAGGCTGCAAATCATTCACGGAGGTCATGGAAGTCACGGATTCTGTGACTTTCTGTGACCTCCGTGAATTCTGCAGCACTGGTGCAGCTGACCCCAGAACCACACCGGCAGCTGGGGAAGCCCCGGGGCCAGACGCACCTGCCACTGCTCTGGCAACCCCAGGCAGCTGGTCCCCAGCACTGCCTTGGAGCAGCAGTCCGAGACCAGGACCGTGACCTTTATTGCCCGTGACCTGTCCATGACTTTTTCTAAAAATACCCGTGACTAAAACATAGCCTTAGCTATGTGTAACAAGGGTGCCTTCCCTTCCTCCTCCCCCAGATCTTTGCTCACACTAAGTGTCCTCAGTTATTGCCTTTGCTGTTTGCAGATAACACAAACCATGAACTTCCTGTTGTAGCAGCAGAGAAGATAGTTAATAACCTGATATATATATGATATGATTAGGGCCCTACCAAATTCACCATCCATTTTGGTCAATTTCACGGCCATAGGATTTTAAAAATCATAAATTTCATTATTTCAGCCATTTAAATCTGAAATTTCATGGTGTTGTAACTGTAGGAGTCCTTACCCAAAAAAACTGTGTGTGTGTGGGGGGGGGGGTCACAAGGTTATTGTGCGGGGGGGGCTGCAGTACTGCTAACCTTACTTCTGCACTGCTGCTGGCGGCAGCGCTGCCTTCAGAGCTGGGCAGCTGGAGAGTGGTGGCTGCTGGCCAGGAGCCAAGCTCTGAAGGCACAGCCCCCGCAAGCACCGGCGCGAAGGATGGGCATGATATGGTATTGCCACCCTTACTTCTGCGCTGCTGACTGCAGAGCTGGGCCCTCAGTCAGCAGCTATGTCCCCTCAGCCGTGCCCCAGGGGCTTTCACCTCCAGCTGGTTCCCTCTACTGCGCTGTACAGTTCCACGAAGTCTAATTATGACATCATGGGGTCTCCTGTTTATCATGTCAGGGTTCCACAGCAAATTCACTCTGTTTATAAGTATCTATCTATGTTATACTGCCCACTGCTGTAGTGTCTAGAACACCCCAGGTCAATAAGATCTCCATAGCCAGGTCTCTGAAGGGCTCGGGGGTGGGGATGAGGGGGTGGTTTCTGCTCTTCTTCCTTCCTTGACTCTGTGGTTATAGGAGCCTCAACTTTGGGAATAAGATTTTTAATCCTCATTATACTAGCTACTGTAGGAGCTGCTTTTCCCAAAGAGGCGGAACCTACAGCAAACCTCACAGTGGGTCAGACTCCCAGTTAGCTCAATCTCCACACTTAACTTCCTCACCCAAAAATATTTACTTCCATCTCTCATGCACTTCACCATGGGCTTTGGCAGCTGTATTGCTCCAGAAAAACAAGTGCCCTCGAATAGGTTGTGGATGGAGACGTGTTTGCAAATTAAGCTGGGTCCTGAACCACTAGGTCATTGAATATCAGAACCTCAAACAAGCAATGGAAGAAGACTGGGAAACAGCTGAGGGATTAGAGCACAGGTGTAAAGTATTTGCAGCAGCCCATCCCTTGAGAAGGCAGAGAGCTGGATTTTGCACATTACTTCCTTCTCTGCATTGCTTCTACAGATATAGCGAGTTACAGTTATCCAATCTGAAGGTGACAACAAGCAGATCACCATAGCCAGGTCCTTGTCTGGAAAGAAAGGGTGAGTTTCCTACTAGTATTTCTCACCACTGATGTACCTAATTGTTCAGGCACAGAGAGGAATTAGACTCTCTCTAATTCTTTCCCTTACTCCAAGAGCAGCCATCCATTCCCTAACTCGGAGCCTGATAATATTTATTTCCCAAATGATCTGTGATCCCAAAAGCACATCTGCCCCAGACACATATATTCTTTCCCTGTCATGTCCTCTCCTTGTGAGCATTGTTCAATAAGACACATCTGGCCAGAAGCCAGGCCATCATCATACTGGGTCTCCCTTCAACTTTTGCAAAATTTAACCTGTTACTGGAAAACAGAGTAAATGTCTCGTGCCACTGGCCATGAAGAACATTCCAAAGGTGAGCCTGATACCTGACTCTGTATGCCACTGCAGAGACAGCTTCAAACAAAAGGAGAGATCTCACCTGCCCCACTCATCTCAATGGGGCGTTCTGTCTAGGCATTCAGCACTTTTAAGACAATCATAGCATGTACTGCAATAAAAGAAATAGCAATAAAAAGCCTATATCCTCAGTGTTGGCTGTAGAGCCTAGCGATGATGCTGTAGAATATCACCCATCTCTTGCCAAGCAGTTTATCATACTGCTGACTCTGTGGATATGGGGAAAGCAGTGGACGTGATATATCTTGATTTTAGCAAAACTTTTGATACGGTCTCCCACAGTATTCTTGCCAGCAAGTTAAAAAAGTATGGATTGGATGAATGGACTATAAGGTGGATAGAAAGATGGCTAGATCGTCAGGCTCAATGGGTAGTGACCAATGGCTCGATGTCTAGTTGGCAGCCGGCACCAAGCAGAGTGCCCCAGGGGTCTGTCCTGGGGCCGATTTTGTTCAACATCTTCATTAATGATCTGGAGGATGGAAGGGATTGCACCCTCAGCAAGTTTGCGGGTGACACTAAGCTGGGGGGAGAGGTAGATATGCTGGAGGGTAGGGATAGAGTCCAGAGTGACCTAGACAAATTGGAGGATTCGGCTAAAAGAAATCTGATGAGGTTCAAGAAGGACAAGTGCAGAGTCCTGCACTGAGGATGGAAGAATCCCATGCACTGCTACAGGCTGGGGACCAACTAGCAAAGCAAGCAGCAGTTCTGCAGAAAAGGACCTGGGGATTACAGTGGACAGGAAGCTGGATATGAGTCAACAGTGTGTCCTTGTTACCAAGAAGGCTAACAGCATACTGGGCTGCATTGCCAGCAGATCAAGGGAAGTGATTATTCCCCTCTATTTGGCACTGGTGAGGCCACATCTGAAGTACTGCATCCAGTTTTGGGCCCCCCACTACAGAAAGGATGTGGACAAATTGGAGAGAGTCCAACAGAGGGCAATAAAAATGATTAGGGGGCTGGGGCACATGACGTATAAGGACAGGCTGCGGGAACTTGGCTTATTTAGTCTGCAGAAGAGAAGAGTGAGGGGGGATTTGATAGCAGCCTTCAACTATCTGAAGTGGGGTTCCAAAGAGAATGGAGCTTGGCTATTTTCAGTGGTGGCACATGACAGAACAAGGAGCAATGGTCTCAAGTTGCAGTGGTGGAAGTTTAGGTTGGATATTATGAAAAACTATTTCACTAGGAGGGTGAAGCACTGGAATGGGTTACTGGGGGGGGAGGGGTGGAACCTCCATCTTTACAGGTTTTTCAGGCCTGGCTTGACAAAGCCCTGGCTTTGGGGGAAGGCATAGCTCATTGGTTTGAGCATTGGCCTGCTAAACCCAGGATTGAGAGTTCAATCCTTGAGGGGGCCATTTAGAGATCCGGGGCAAAAATTGGGGATAGGTCCTGCTTTGAGCAGGGCGTTGGACTAAATGACCTCCTGAGGTCTCTTCCAACTCTAATCTTCTGTGACTCTGAACTCACTGCCCCTGTAGTCAACTCTTAGGAAGTGAATGAGAAGGGTGAAGGGTGGGTATGTGGGAAGAGAACACAGAGGTTCTGCTTTAACCACCATAATAAGCACTTAAATGGATTCCAGGAAGAGGCCTTTGGTCTTCATTGCCCCTTCTTTAAACACCAGCTTAATGAGGGCATTGGCCACAGACCGGAAGGTGCAAAGTTGATAGTTCCATCTTGTCTGCTCTCCCTGTCAGTGATGCAGGTCTGACAAGACTGTACTGTCCCACAATATGGAGCCCTACAAATATTTTGAATTGTTTTCTCTTACCTGATGACGATACACTGGTTCTGAGGTCCTGTTGCCAGATGTCCCAGCATGGCCTGGTATGCTCTGTCAGCAATGGCAAAGATGTGGGGGGGTAGGGTACCCTTGTCATGGTTCTGATATTTCTCTGACACCTGGGAGCAGGAGGAAAGTTCAATTAAAGTGAAATGCCAGAACAGTTAGAGGGACAGAGGGTAAATTCTCCCCTCCTCACCTCAGCTAGCCACTGCGACAAGGGAGGGAGAAGCTTAGATTACATTTTCCACGGTTTGATAGAGCCAATCAAACAATACACCACATGTCAGATGAAGATTTCCAAAAACAATGTGCCCCAGAACCCCCTGCCACTGCCCTGCTTAGAACCTTCTGGCTTATTGCAAAGGTCATCTCTGTTCTTGAGCATTTGTGGGGAGGAGGGCGAGGGTAGGGTGTAAACAGTGGGTATGACGTGAAGGCTGCTGCAAGCAGGATTGTTTTTTATTACTGGATACTCAGTTCAATGAGTACTTTGTAGATTTAAAACTGTCTAAAATATTTTGTTTCAAACAGAATGAAGCACAAAGAGCCATGGGTGACAGAGAGAAATCAAAACACAGCTGACAAAATCTGTATGAGACTTACTACATTTTGAAAAAAACAGGGACTTCAAAGTACATAGAAAAGCCTCCCACAAAAGCCCAACTAGCCACATTCCTTATGGGTAACAATATAAACTTCACAGGAGAGTAATGGGATTCAAACATCAAGAGCAAAGTGCACAACTCTGTTCCCCTGGTCTGCCCCCCCCCCGGGAAGGGCCACCTGCACCTCTTCCCCACCAGGGCCACACCAGCACAAGACACCACACACTCACGCTACTCACACCATACACTGGAATGAGGGGACACTTACTGGTTTCTCGTAGAGTGGAAGGCTCTGGAACGGGTTCATCGCAATCAGAATGTCCCCAATATATGTCTGATGTAAAAGGAAAATTCCCACCAACCAGGTAAGCAAGCATTGCACAGTGCCCCATGGACCAAGGGCACTACACTACTGAGGCATGGTGAGGAAACCATGTCCCAAGGGGTCTCCCATCCAACACATCCCCAGTGTCCAACAGGGTCTCCCTCCACTACCAGAGGCAATACTTAATTTGTAATGAAAGAGGTACCCCGGGGCTCAAACAATTAGATGCCAGGGCTCAAGCAATTTTTTTACTTGCATAACTGAGGCTGCAAGCATGGGGTGCCAGGGCTCAGTCCTGGCAGCACCAATTAAGCACTGCCTACATGCCCCTGGTGTCCCGTGGGGTCCCTTGCCACACTGCACACACCCCCAGTGACCCGCGGGGTCTCCCGCCCCCCACACCATACCCTCAGTGTCCCGTGGGGTCCCCTGCTCCCCCGTCCCTGGAGTCCCTAAGCCCTTCCTCACACCAACCCGGTGTCCTGCGGGGGTCTCCTGCCCCCCGGTGTCCCTCAGCCGTCCCTTACACGCTTCCAGCGTCCCGTGGGCCCCACCCGGTGTCCCGCGGGGTCCCTCGGGCCCTTCTCCCACCCTCCAGTCATTTCCCAACGAGGGGAGGCCCTACAGCAGAACCCCCTCGGCCCCGGTTACCCCCCAGCACTGCCCCCGGCTCCCCCCTCACATAGACCCGCTGCTGCAGGAAGCGGCCGCTCAGATTCTGCAGCAGCCTCGCCTCGTCCAGCTCCGCCAGGGCAGCCAGGTCAGCGGCCCCGTCGCAGGCCAGCGGCCCCGGCTCCGCAGTAGGCACCATCCCAGCAAGGCTTGGCTCCGAGCCCGACCCCCACCAAGAACCGGCGGCCGCAAGACAGCTTCCGCCCGTGAGCCTTCAAGACTCGCCCCGACCCAGCGAGTCCGTCGGTCCCTCCCCTCTCCTCCCTTCCTGGGCCCCCAGCCCCGCCCTGGGTCGGGCAGTCCCACCTCAGCCCACTCCCCCGGCGCGCTCCCTTTCTCCTTCCTACAGACTCCAGCTTCCTGTCTGAGGAGTGACTCCCAGCCACCTGGCCACAGGGCAGTGGAGTCTGGGGTCCAGCTCAAACCAGGACCTTCACAGAATGGGGCTAGACCCCGAGAATATCCCCTCTGCAGCACGGGCTGCCCTCATAGGAGGGATCTCAGCAAACGGCATTACCAGGCAATTCACGTTGTTCATAAAGACAGAGAAGTTAAGCAACTCATGGTGCTACCTGAGCCAACGATCCCCGGACACACCAACACCAGCGGAGCTGCAGGTAAAACTAGTTTAAAAAAATCCCTCTACCCTTGACAGATGGGTCACGGTCTGCCTTGGAAGTATACTTTGTATTTCTTCAACATGAGCCATCCCCACAGAGAAAGCATGGCTTCTGTGTCTACACTCACACAAGGAAACACAAAACACCTTTCAGAGTAACAGCCGTGTTAGTCTGTCTTTGCAAAAAGAAAAGGAGTACTTGTGGCACCTTAGAGACTAACCAATTTATTTGAGCATGAGCTTTCGTGAGCTACATCCGATGAAGTGAGCTGTAGCTCAGGAAAGCTCATGCTCAAATAAATTGGTTAGTCTCTAAGGTGACACAAGTACTCCTTTTCTTTTTACAAAACACCTTGTGCCAGAGTGCAAGAATGTTAATTTCTACATATTCAGAACATAATCTTAGAAGATTACGGTTGGAAGAGACCTCAGGAGGTCATCTAGTCCAACCCCCTGCTCAAAACAGGAGCAACCCCAACTAAATCATCCCAGCCAGGGCTGTCAAGCCGGGCCTTAAAAACCTCTAAGGATGGAGATTCCTCACCCTCCCTAGATAACCCATTCCAGTGCTTCATCAGGCTCCTAGTGAAATAATGTTTCCTAATAACCAACCTAGACCTCCCTCACTGCAACTTGAGACCATTGCTCCTTGTTCTGTCATCTGCCACCACTGAGAACAGCCAAGCTCCATCCTCTTTGGAACCCCCCTTCAGGTAGTTGAAGGCTACAATCAAATCTCCCCTCACTCTTCTCTTCTGCAGACTAAAGAAGCCCAGTTCCCTCAGCCTGTCCTCATAAGTCATGTGCCCCAGCCCCTTAATCATTTTTGTTGCCCTTCGCTGGACTCTCTCCAATTTGTTTCACATCCTTTCTGTAGTGGGGGCCCCAAAACTGGACGCAATACTCCAGATGTGGTCTCACCGGTGCCGAATAGAGGGGAATAATCACTTCCCTCAAACTGCTTTCAGTCCTCCTACTAATGCAGCCCAATATGCCGTTAGCCTTCTTGGCAACAAGGGCACACTGCTGACTCATACCCAGCCTCTCATCCACTGTAAAGCCCAGGTCCTTTTCTGCAGAACTGCTGCTGAGCCAGCAAGGGGGAAGACTAGTGTGTGAAAAGGCAAGTGATTGTGACTGCTGTTGTTGGTAGCTACCAATGTGGTGCTCTGCTCTTGTTCGATGATGATAACAGTCGGCTGCGTGCGTGTTCCCTCTGTGTGCTGCCTCAGCTCTGCACAGATAGCTGACACAGCAGACCCTGAGAGAACCCCCAAAGACCACAGACTCTAGTAAGGTACGAAGGCACCCAACCAGGTTTATTGTCAAACGAAGCACAGTAATAGTTTCCTATAGACTCTACAGGACATACTACGAATATGTGCCCCCTGGCAATGGACACAGCTCAGTCAGTGGCGGGACACTCCACTGCCCCCTAGGCTGGACAAAGATATGCACTCCGAGACCTATTTTTATACAGTTGCAGAACAGATTACTCATCCCTACTGATGTATTGAGGTACAGCCCCTTGACCCATTAGGGTGCTGTCTCCTCCTTTGATCATGTTGGTTCAAACAAACAGATCTGTCCATCATGCTGTCCTTTTGACCCTGTCTTTGGGGTGCATCTGGCTGTTCCTTGTTATCTCTGTGAAGTGTCCTCGTATTGGGATGTCCATCTTGGCACACGTTCCTCTTATTACTACTTATATCATTAGCGTGTGCTTTCTAGGAGCCCTTTTCTTGCCAAGTTCTGCAATTAGGGCCTGCCTCTGGCTCACAGCCCAGCTTTGCTTAGCAATGCCTGGAAGTACTTTGGTTCAGGCTTTGGGCCTCAGACCAGGCCTCTGATACAAGGGTTTATGTTTCAGAGCCTCTTACTGCAACTGTAACATCACTGTCTCATTCCTTCGCTCTAGGGCAGTGCTCCCCAGATTATTTAGAGCTATGAGTTTATTTACACAGTTTTTGTACTGCTTTAAATATAGTGTTTTAGAAACTGATAATTAAGCAGTCTAACACTTTAGTGTTGGGCACAATTGTAGTGGCATAAAGTGTACAGAACAGTCCTAAACCCAACTTCAAGAAAATTAAACAAATCATTCCCCACACCCCGCTTCAATTCTGTCATATGTTAAAAGCCTATCCAAAATGAGTAGTCACATGAAGTTCCTGTATATCTAAAAAAAACCTTGAAAACGGCTAGGCCATAGGAGCCAATTTAGTTGGGGATTGGTCATGCTTTGAGCAGGGGGTTGGACTAGATGACCTCCTGAGATCCCTTCCAACCCTGATATTCTATGATTCTATGACTCTGTGGGTGCTCTAGGGCTGGAGCACCCATGGGGAAAAATTAGTGGATGCTCTGCACCCACCAGCAGCACTGTAAAAAAAACAAAAGAAATAGTATTTTTCAATTCACCTAATACAAGTACTGTAGTGCAATCTCTTTATCATGAAAGTTGAATTTACAGATGTAGAATTATGTACAAAAAAACCAAAAGATAATAATTGAAAAATAAAACAATGTAAAGCTTTAGAGACTGCAAGTCCACTCAGTCCTACTTCTTGTTAAACCAATCACTCAGACAAACAAATTTGTTCACATTTGCAGGAGATAATGCTGCCCGCTTCTTATTTACAATGTCCCCTGAAAATGAGAACAGGCTTTCTCATGGCACTGTTGTAGCCGGCATCACAAGATATTTACGTGCCAGATGTGCTAAAGATTCATATGTCCCTTCATGCTTCAACCACCATTCCAGGGGACATGTATCCATCCTGATGACAGGTTCTGCTTGATAACAATCCAAAGCAGTGAGGACTGATGCATGTTCATTTTCATTATCTGAGTCAGATGCCATCAGCAGAAGGTTGATTTTCTTTTTTGGTGGTTGGGTTTATGTAGTTTCCTCATCAGAGTGTTGCTCTTTTAAGACTTTTGAAAGCATGCTCCACACCTCATTCCTCTCAGAGTTTGGAAGACGCCTCAGATTCTTAAACCTTGGGTCGAGTGCTGTAACTATCTTTCAAAATCTCACATTGGTACCTTCTTTGTGTTTTGTCAAATCTGCAGTGAAAGTGTTCTTAAAATGAACATACGCTGGGTCATCATCCGAGACTGCTATAACATGAAATATATGGCAGAATGCGGGTAAAACAGGGCAGGGGACATACAATTCTCCCCAAAAAAGTTCAGTCCATAGGTGCCGACTTCCCCTTTGCCCGGTGGGTGCTCAACCCCCACGCTACCCCTGGCCTTGCCCCTGCACTGCCCTCGCTCCACCCCCATTCCACCCCTTCCCCAAAGTCCTCACCCCACCTTTTCCCACCCCCTTCCTGCCCCTATTCCACTCCCTTCCCCAAGTCCCTGCCCCGCCTCTTCTCCGCCTGCTCCTCTGAGAAAAGTCCTAAGAGCAGCCAAACAGCTGTTAAGCGGGGGATCGGGAAGTGCTGGGCGGGGAGGAGCGGGGGACACGGCATGCTCGGTGAGCAGGGAGAAAAGTCAAGGAGGGGGAAGCTTGGCAGCCAGTGGGTGCAGAGCACCCACTAATTTTTCCCGGTGGGTGCTCCAGCCCCGGAGCACCCACGGAGTTGGCATCTATGGTTCAGTCACAAATTTAATTAAGGCATTATTTTTTTAACAAGCATCATCAGCATGGAAGCATGTCCTCTGGAATGGTGGCCAAAGCATGAAGGGGCATACTAATCTTTAGCATATCTGGCATGTAAATACCTCACAATGCTGGCTACAAAAGTGCCATGCAAATGCCTGTTCTCACTTTCTGGTGACATTGTAATTAAGAAGAGAACAGCATTATCTCCTGTGAATGTAAACAAAACTTGTTTGTCTTAGTGATTGGCTGAAAGAAGTAGGACTGAGTGGACTCCTAGGTTCTGAAGTTTTACATGGTTTTGTTTTTGAGTGGTTATGTAACAAAAAAAAAATCTACATTTGTAAATTGCACTTTCACCACACAGAGATTGCACTGAGGTACTTGTATGAGGTGAATTGAAAAATACTATTTCTTTTGTTTATCTTTTACTGTGCAAGTACTGCCATTAATCAACAGCCCTATAAATACCCCCCTCTTCCCTCCTGTATATGTATTTATGCCAGTATGGAAGTGCTTACACCTGTATAGCTTTCAGAGTAACAGCCGTGTTAGTCTGTATTCGCAAAAAGAAAAGGAGTACTTGTGGCACCTTAGAGACTAACCAATTTATTTGAGCATGAGCTTTCGTGAGCTACAGCTCACTTCATCAGATGCATACCGTGGAAACTGCAGCAGACTTTATATATACACAGAGAATATGAAACAATACCTCCTCCCACCCCACTGTCCTGCTGGTAATAGCTTATCTAAAGTGATCAACAGGTGGGCCATTTCCAGCACAAATCCAGGTTTTCTCACCCTCCACCCCCCCCACACAAATTCACTCTCCTGCTGGTGCTAGCCCATCCAAAGTGACAACTCTTTACATAATCAAGTCGGGCTATTTCCTGCATAGATCCAGGTTTTCTCACATCCCCCCCATACATACCCCCATACACACACAAACTCACTCTCCTGCTGGTAATAGCTCATCTAAACTGACCACTCTCCAAGTTTAAATCCAAGTTAAACCAGAACATCTGGGGGGGGGGGGGGTTAGGAAAAAACAAGAGGAAACAGGCTACCTTGCATAATGACTTAGCCACTCCCAGTCTCTATTTAAGCCTAAATTAATAGTATCCAATTTGCAAATGAATTCCAATTCAGCAGTTTCTCGCTGGAGTCTGGATTTGAAGTTTTTTTGTTTTAAGATAGCGACCTTCATGTCTGTGATTGCGTGACCAGAGAGATTGAAGTGTTCTCTGACTGGTTTATGAATGTTATAATTCTTGACATCTGATTTGTGTCCATTTATTCTTTTACGTAGAGACTGTCCAGTTTGACCAATGTACATGGCAGAGGGGCATTGCTGGCACATGATGGCATCTATCACATTGGTGGATGTGCAGGTGAACGAGCCTCTGATAGTGTGGCTGATGTGATTAGGCCCTGTGATGGTGTCCCCTGAATAGATATGTGGGCACAATTGGCAACGGGCTTTGTTGCAAGGATAAGTTCCTGTATAGCTATAGCTTATCCTCAACAAATTGTTTCAATTGTACGTTCCAGGCGCCACCCACTGTCCTCCTGGCTGCTGCTTTCCTTTCGTCTCTTTCCCTCAGACTCATTTTTAAAAATCTTTCACTTTATTCTTTCATCTTGAAGCTGTGCGCGCTCTCTCTCTCTCTCTCATGCCTGAACGATTTAGCTCAGATACTGCACCCCTTCCCCCGGCTTTTTCCCCGGCGACTCTCTCGCACCTCCTTTCCCCTCGGCGTGCTGACCACCCTGTTCGCCTGCTGCTCCCCTGAGCCGAGCCCTCCACTCTCCCGGCCTCTGCGCCGGATGGGTCCTTCCTAGCCTTTCCGTGGGGTGGAGGGACAGAGAGAACAAATACTGCAAGGACAAACCAGGGCGGCTCCCCAGTCCCCTTACCGCAAAACGGGTCCTCAGACCCGCCCCGAGCTCGCCTCTTGCCACCGCCCGGCCCCCGGCCGCGCCTCCCCGCTTGCTTCAGACTCGCCGCCCGCCCCCGTTAGCTCCGCCCTCAGCTCTATTTGCCGCCCGGTCCCCTCCGGCCTGGCCCCCAGTCATCCCAGGCTCGGACTCGCCGTTCGCGGGCCCAAGCCGAGGACTAGGTGGGAAGCGCCCACCAGCCCGGCCTGGTCCGGACCGGTTGGGCGCTGCACTCTCTCCCCGCGCAGGAGGAGGAGGAGGAGGAAGAGGTGCTGTGCCCACTCCCCAGGCTCGCGGCGGCCGTTTGAATGCTGGTGGGTGGGTGGGAGGGAGGACGTGCTCTGCTCTACTCTGCCCGCCCTCTCCCTGGGCTCGCGCGGCGGCGGCCGTTTGAATGCTGGGGGCGTGAGCGGGGGGGAGGGGTGGGGTGGTGCTATGCTCTGCCCTCGCCCCCTCTCCCCGGGCTCGCGCGGCGTTGGCCGTTTGAATGCTGGTGGGTGGATGGGTGGGAGGGAGGACGTGCTGTGCCCTGCCCTCGCCCCCTCTCCCCGGGCTCGCGCGGCGTTGGCCGTTTGAATGCTGGGGGCGTGAGCGGGGGGAGGGGTGGTGCTATGCTCTGCCCTCGCCCCCTCTCCCCGGGCTCGCGCGGCGTTGGCCGTTTGAATGCTGGTGGGTGGGAGGGAGGACGTGCTGTGCTTTGCCCTGCCCTCCCCCCCTCTCCCTGGGCTCGCGCGGCGGCGGCCGTTTGAATGCTGGTGGGTGGATGGGTGGGAGGGAGGACGTGCTGTGCTGTGCCCTGCCCTCGCCCCCTCTCCCCGGGCTCGCGCGGCGTTGGCCGTTTGAATGCTGGTGGGTGGGTGGGAGGGAGGACGTGCTGTGCTGTGCTGTGCCCCTGCCCTCGCCCCCTCTCCCCGGGCTCGCGCGGCGTTGGCCGTTTGAATGCTGGTGGGTGGGAGGGAGGACGTGCTGTGCTGTGCTATGCTCTGCCCTCGCCCCCTCTCCCTGGGCTCGCGCGGCGGCGGCCGTTTGAATGCGGGGCGGGGCGGCTCTGGCAGGGAGGCCTGTTGCTGACTGAGGCCCAGCGAGCGCAGGTAATGGGGCGCCGGGTTCCTCCGGGGTCAGCTTCCCTCCCTTGGAGCCGCGCCCTGCCGCGGGCGACGTAATCTGTGCCCGGAGAGCACGCGGGGCTGTGCCGCTGTCCCGCCGATGTGTGAGAGCCTGTGAGGGCTGGCGGTAGGTCCGCTCCCCCGCTGTACCGGGTCGGGAGGGCCGTGCGCTGTCCCGTTGCATGGGGGGGACACGGCTGTGCCCCCCCCCGTATTCTTTGTGTCGGAGGAGGGAGGCAGAGTCCTGCGCTGTCCTGTGGGGTGCGGGGAGATCGTGTGTGTGTGTGTGTGTAGGGGCAGGAGGACCATGTGCTCTGCTGCTGCACTTTGTTGTCGGGGAAGAGGGAGAGCTGTGCTGGGGGCAGGAGAAATGACTGTAGGCGTTTATCCACAGTGGAATAGTCATTGGACCAGAGTGAGAAGGATTGACTCTCTGGTCCAGTCCTCCTGCTCCAGTTGCCCTTTCATTATTTATCCACAGTGGAACAGCTTCAACTGGAGAGCTGGAGGGAGGGAGCCCCACCTCAAAATATTCCATAGGTCAGTGGTCAGAGGATTCTCCTGAGAGGTGGGAGATGCCCTATTCAAATCTTTTACCCCTTACTTGATTGTAGGGCCCCAAAACCCATCTTCCCTTGCTCTGTGGCTCTCACTGAGTGCCTAGAGTGAGGTAGCAGTGTGCATGCTGAGAGGGCAAAACATAGGTGCCTAGGGAGCTTTTACTGTACCTCTAAAATGTAGGTGCCCACCAAGTTTGGCAGGAGTCTTGGGGATTTCCATGGAGCCAAAACTGGGACGTTTGTGCCTCATTATCCTTGTGGATCTGTGCCCTAATCACTACTTGTGCCTCCCATAAGGGGAAAAAAAACTGGGCATGTTTAGTTTTGAGAAAAGAGCATTCAAATATGTAAAGGTCTGTTATATAAAGAGGACTGTGATCAGTTGTTCTCTGTGTCCACTGAAGGTAGGAAAAGCTGCAGATTAAGCCTATTGCTTCAAGGGAGATTTAGGTTAGATATTAGGAAAAGCTTTCTAATGATAAGGATAGTTAAGATCTGGAACAGGCTTCCAAGGGAGGCGGTGGAATCCATGTCATTTTTTAAGGTTTTTAAGAACAGATTGGACAAACCTTTGTCAGGGATGGCCTAGGTTTACATGGTCCTGCCTCAGTGCAAGGGGCTGGACTTAATGACTTCTTGAGGTGTCATGGAGTCTCTGGGCGATGCTCTGGAACTGCTCCCCACAAAGCCAGTCAGGACTCTGGTGAAGTCTCCTCTCTGTGAGCAGACTGTCTTCAGGACACACAGCTCTCACAACTTCCACCTTCCTGGGTCTGACCTCGGAGCATTCAGCATCCTCTGCCCCTCCTGTGTGTGTGTGTCTCACTCACACACACACACACACACACACACACATGTCTCTGTCTCTCTCTGGCATGCTGTGTCTCCTCCCTCCATTCCTGCTGCCTTGTAGAGTGTGAGGCTACATTAACAACTATGTGTTAACCGTTGAGAGCTCAGCTGAGTGCTAGTTCATCATTTAGCAGTAAGGCATTCCCCAGGAAATATCCCACCCTCTGACTCCACTATCTCAACTAATGACAGGTTTCAGAGGAACAGCCGTGTTAGTCTGTATTCGCAAAAGGAAAAGGAGTACTTGTGACACCTTAGAGACTAACCAATTTATTTGAGCATGAGCTTTCGTGAGCTACAGCTCACTTCATCAGATGTAGTGAGCTGTAGCTGATGAAGTGAGCTGTAGCTCACGAAAGCTCATGCTCAAATAAATTGGTTAGTCTCTAAGGTGCCACAAGTACTCCTTTTCTTTTTATCTCAACTAAGCTTCACAATCATCATTGCTGTGTACAGTATTAAATTCTTTGTTTAAAACTTGTATTCTGTGTGTGTGTATTTTATATATATATATATATATATAGTATAGTCTTTTGTCTGGCAAAAAAAATTTCCCTGGAACCTAACCCCCCACTATTTACATTAATTCTTATGGGGAAATGGGATTCGCTTAACATCGTTTCGCTTAAAGTAGCATTTTTCAGGAACATAACTACAACGTTAAGTGAGGAATTACTGTAGTTTAATATAGGATTGGCGACAAGTGTTGTCTGTGGTGACAGATCTGAGGTACAAGACTCGTCCTTTGAAATTGAGAGGAACCTGAATATTGTTGTGATTTTTGGTGTAAGGGACCATCTATCACAAAGGCAGGCTTGCCTTGGTGGTAAGATAGACAGAGTATCCAAGGGGACTGTCTGACACCATGTTAAGGCTGTTATAGTGCTTAAGGAGTTCACACTTAATGCTGGGTTGGTGAGATCTAAGTACAGAACTCACAATGAGTTAGCCATTTGTGCGCTGGTTTGTAACAGTCTGATCTGAGGTTGGTACTCATGCTCTTGAGCCACTCCAGCCACTGGGGCAGGAGGTGTGTGGAGGGTAGAAAGGAGTGGCTGGAGCTATCTGGCTATCTTCAGATGGCAATGGTCCCTAGGTGATGTGATGAAGGGAAGGGTTTTGAAGAATAGGACAAAAATCTTGAACCTGATGTAGTTAAAGTGGGAGAGGCTGATGGTTTTAGTGGCTATGTTTTGAATGGATGGGAGATAGGGCATAGGTGGGTGTGATGTGGGTGCGGTGTTGAAGAGGTGAAAATAATGAAGCCCAGAGATGAGGGTTCTGCAAATTCACACCCTCCCGCACTTAGCGTCATCTGGTGATCCTAATGTAGTACAGAGATTCAAAAATCTGGAGAGTCTCGGTCTGTCAGGTCAGCATGCAGTTCTCTGAACATAGACACGTCTTAAACTTTACCTGGTTCTTTGGTCTAACCAAAAACCGTGGGCTACTGTAATAGATTAGGATCAGAAAGGATCATTATGATCAACTAGTCTGACCTCCTGTATAACAGATCATAGAAACTCACTTATTTTCTGCATCAAACTTATAATTTCTGGTTAAAACAAAGCATGTCTTTTTCAAAATGAGACTCAGTCTTGACTTAAAGATTTTCAAGTATCCTTGTGTAAGTCCCAATGGTAAATTATCCTCACTGTATTTTTTTTAGATGTGCCTTTATTTCTAATCTGAATTTGTCAGCTTCCAGACACTAGCTCTCATTAGGCCTTTGTTTGCTAGATTGAAGAGACCTCTGCTATCAGAAATCTCTCCCCCCTCCCCCACCCTCCGAGATAAATGTAGACAATGATCAAGTCACCGATTTACCTTCTCTTGGATAAATTAAATAGATTGAGTTTGAGTCTCTCACAATTAAGGCACACTTTCCAAACCTTGGTTAATTCTTGTAACTCTTTTCTGAATCCTTCCCAATTT